ATTGTTGTGCGATGCATTTGTGGACTGTTGTTGTTGTTTTGATTCAGCCTGGTTCCACTTAGAGACACAATTATCTACAAGAAAGAAGAGGCCTTTGCTGCTGTGGCGTAGAGTATCAAAGAAAATCCGAATGAGTTCGTCCGCCATTCCGCGCAACAGCTGTGGAACTGTGCCCATTTACTTTATGGTAGAGTTTGCGGAAGGATCTTGATATACGGACTAACAAAATCCAGTTAGTGCAAGAATTGAAACCGAATGACCATGAAGTGCTCCACACGATCGGTGAATGGGCCTAAATCGAGATGGTCACCAATCCCGATTTTCGCAAAAAATTTTGTTCAGCGAAGAAGATCACTCTTGGTTGAGTGGGTACGTCAACAAACAAAATTTTCGCATTTGAAGTGATGATAATCCACAATCCATTACCTCCTCAAAAATTCTCTGCTTGGTATGCTCTATGGACAGAGGAAATCATTTGTTTATATCTCGGCTGGAACTTATTCGAACCCGAATTCATTTTCAAACATAATGGCAGACCCCTGTATTTATAGTAAAGCTAAATTCATGGACATAATACTAAGTTATACAAGGTGCGTTCCAAAGTAAACAGTACAAAAGTAACAAAGTAAACTCTAGTGGCACCATCTATATGTCGACTAGTGCGTTAGAATCTACTATCCTTTATCGACTTCCAGTAAAAATTTCATCTATTGGAAGTGAAGTTATTCCGTTTTAAGTGTCAGTATGTTTTTGTCATCGGCGCGAAAATGAGCTTCGAACAAAGAGCCAACATTAAATTTTGTTTTAAAATTGGTAAAACTTTTACCGGAACGTTTCAATTGATGAAACAAGTTTATGGCGATGATTGCCTACCCCGTAGCAGAGTGCACGAGTGGTTTCAACGTTTTCAAAGTGGTCGTGAGGACATAAATGATTATGATTCCAAGGGTATTGTCCACAAAGAATTTGTTTCACTCGGCCAAAACGTTACTGCGTTCGAATATCGCGAAGATGGAAGTTGGCGTTTGTTGTACGATAATGCGCCGTCTCATCGATCGACGCTTGTGGTCGATTATTTGACCTAAAATCACATTTTCACAATCAACCGCTCCCCGTATTCACCTGATACGGCACCGTGCGACTTTTACCTTTTCGGAAAAATGCATTTGCCGGTGAAAGGAAAGCGTTATGCAGACTTGGAGGTCATTCAAAAGGCTTGCACCGGCATACTGGCGGCTATACCGGCCAACGAGCTAAAACACTCGTTCGAAATGCTTTAAGACCGTGCAAAAAGCTGTATTAAAGCAGAAGAAGACTATTTTGAATAAAATTAATTGATTTTGTCGATAAAGCCATTTGTTCTGTTTTGTTTGTAAAGGTCCTGTTTACTTTGGAACGCACCTTGTATACGTTTTATTTCTTTTTTAAAACCACATAGCTGCCACGTCCGCAGATTTCACTTGGAATCTTCTTCAACTAAGAATTTCTACTCTAAAGTGTATTTAAGGGAGAAAACAAAACGAAAGATTTTGTTGTTGTACCAGTGCCATGCAGTACTTCGATATATATTATATTTGTATTTACCCTCTCTTGCATTTATTCAGAAGTTTCAAACGAGTCAAGTGGAACGGATTTTATTGAAAAATTAAAAGAAATGAAGAGAAGAAAACTTATGAGTTTTACTTATTTATTTTAATTAATGTAGTATGCTAAAAAAAATTTAAAAATTCTAACCTATTATTTGTATAATATTACTGTACCTTTATATTATACAGGGTGGCTCACGAATCGTGCTACAAAAACAAACCGAAATAACTTTTTTTATACTCTCGCAACCTGTTGCTACAGAGTATAATAGTTTTGTTCACCTAACGGTTGTTTGTATCACCTAAAACTAATCGAGTTATATATAGGGCTATGTTTACATAAATAATCAGGACGAAGAGACGAGTTGAAATCCGGGTGACTGTCTGTCCGTCCGTCCGTCCGTGCAAGCTCTAACTTGAGTAAAAATTGAGATATCTTTATGAAGCTTGGTAGACATATTTCTTGGTACCGTGAGACGGTTGGTATTGCAGATGGGCGTAATCGGACCACTGCCACGCCCACAAAACGCCATTAATCAAAAACAAATAAATTGCCATAACTAAGCTCCGCAATAAGATAGAGGATTTTTTTAAAAAAGTGGGCGTGGTCCCGCCTCTAATAAATTTAATGTACATATCTCCTAAACCGCTAACGCTATAATAACAAACTTCACTGGAAGCAAATATTTTTAGCACTTTTATTGACCTTGTGAAAATAGTTGAAATCGGGTGGCAACTCCGCCCACTCCCCATATAACGGTACTGTTAATAACTACTAAAAGCGCGATAAATCAAGCACTAAACACGCCAGAGACATTAAATTTTATCTCTGGGATGGTATGAGATGACTTTATAGGAACCGCGTTCAAAAATAGACAGTGGGCGTGGCACAGCCCACTTTTCGCTGTAAACCCATATCTTGGGATCTGCTTAACCGATTTCAACCAAATTCGGTGCATAACGTTCTCTTCATATTTCTATGTTATATTGTGAAAATTGGTGAAATCGGACTACAACCACGCCTACTTCTCATATAACACCATTTTAAATTCCATCTGATTCTTTCACTTTCCACTATGCAAATCAGGTAACAATGACTGTATCGGGATAAAACTTTGCGTGAATAATGTGATTAAAGTATGCCAAACCAACCAAAACTGTTCAAGCCCCTAAGTACTAAATATGTGGACCCCAGTGCCTATAGTTGACCTACTACCGAAAATATCAGTCAATCCACAAAGAAATCTCAAACGAGTATACTATTTGACTTTGCGAGAGTATAAAATGTTCGGTTACATCCGAACTTAGCCCTTCCTTACTTGTTAATTAATGCATTACAAAATTTTTATTTTATTTTATTTACAAGTATTTTATAGCAAATTTTATTTTATTTTATATAATTAATTATTTTAAAAAAAATATGGACCGTAAACAACCTCCATGCCATCCACGGATACGCGATGCTTAAGTAGAAAATTATTCTTTGCGGCCTGAAGGGTTGAAGTCGAGATTGCCTCAATTATCGATTTAATGAACTGCTTCAATTCAGTCGGATTTATGGGTCCATAAAAAGTCTGGTGCAGTCAGGTCAGGTGACATTGGGATCCAGCGGAAAGGGCTTTCTTGATATTAATTTGTTTTCAAATTTTCGTTGAAGCTCCGCAATAACCGGTCTGGCTATGTGTACAGTTGTGCTTGATCGATCTTGAAAAGGATACGTCTTGGACGCAATTCTGGCTAAAAAAGCTCATTCAACATCTTTATATAACGGTGCCCATTGACAGTTACTATTACACCGTTTTCTTCAAAGAAGTATGGCCCGACAATACACCTTTGATGAAACTGCGCACCACACAGTCACTTGTGGATTATTTCTGAATTTGATTCACTCCATATATGGCAATTTTGCTTGTTTACATTTCCGCTTAGATCAAAATGGGCCTCAACAGACATAAACAGCCAATTTATCCAGTTATTGTCTTCTTCGGCTATTTCAATCATTTATTGGCAAAATTCCAGGCGAATAGGTAAATCTAGAGGGTTTAACTGGCTTGTTATTAAAACTTTGTACTAAAATAGATTTAAGCCATCATAAGTTATTCGTTGTAATGACCGTCTGCTAACTCCAAGCTGCGCCGATAAATTGCGAGTCGAAACTGTTAGATTTGCCTAAATTGGCGATGCAACAGCCGCGATTGTTTCTGGAACACGAACATACTGATCGCGGTTCGGTCTTCTTGCGATACTTCCAGATTCGGAAAACATGTTTACCAACCTCATAATGGTCCATCTACTCGGGAGAGTGCCGCCAAAATCCCGTCTGAATTCCCTTCGGACGGAAATGACAGGACTGCAAAACATGGTACCGCTGCACTAGACAAACCTCCTTTCGGTATCCTAAGCGCTCATTTTTAAAAAATTTAAATAATAGCCTGCCAAAAAAAAAAAGTATGTCGATTACTTACACAGAAAAAAATGTATTATGGTTTGTTTTTGTAGCACCCTGTACCTTAATAATTATTTTTAATAATCTTTACAATAATTGTATGCTTTAAGTCAAATTCTTTATTGTTTTTCAGCAAATTTTAATGTAATTTTTGATGCATAAAATTTATAGAAGTACACAAAAAGCCATCTTTCGAAAATTCAAATGAAAACACAAATAATTGTGTTTTATGTTTGTAATAGTTATCACTATTTCTTTGAAATTGCAATATCCTGCATTTCTTGCGTCTTTCACCTTTTGTTTTACATAAAAAAAAAAATTTTATTATTCAATATTTTGTCAAACTTTTATTCGTTTAATAATTTTATCTGTATTTCATTGTTTTCATAAGTGACATTTTTTTTATGCCCTGCACAAGTTTTCAATTTGAATTAACGCTTATAAAGAATATTCTGCATAAATTACCATATTTTTCATCAAATTCGAAAAACTTCAAATTTCATATTTATTTCAAACATTTGCCATGAAACGGAATTTACGCACGAAAGCACAAAATCAACGGCACAATTATTAATATTAATTTTATTGTTATTATTTCTTGGAAAACAAATATTTTTCAAGAGCACAAAAACAAATTGCGCGCAAAACGCACTACCCTCACCACCACAACCACTACATATTACTATGTAATATATACATACATATATAAAACATAACTGTATGTAGTTATGCTATATTCACCAGCAACGCCACAGCCATCGCTTTCATCAAGAACAACCAAAAAGCAATAAAGCAACAGCAACACCATTTATTCACCAAATAAATGCGCAATTTAAATATATATTCTCAATATGCTTTGTTTAATTTTTAAAAATAAAAAGCAATATTTTTAAAAACCCAAATATCATCAACGTGCAAATATATTTTAAAACAAAATGTTTATTGTTGTTGTTTGTAACCTTTTACAGGTTTAAAGAGCAGGAGGCCTCTATCCTGATTGACCGATCGTACGTATACAAAATGAAAGCATACAAATACTTGAAATAATGAAATAAATAATAAATAACAAAAACAAAAATAGCAATATTGTAGTTGATTAGAAAATACGCTTTGTCTGGCAACACTATTTATTTTAACGCTAGTGTGCATTCCATACATATTTTGTAAACGCAAATATGAATGCAAATGCTTGAAAATCATTTTTGAAAAATTTTTATTTTTAATATTTTTTTTTCGAAATAATAAATATGCATTGACAACTCTAGCGCTGTAATAAAAATCCATAAACGCTTCCCCTATATTGCTTAGCAAACAAATTTTTTAACTTGTTTTTTTTTTTTTTTTTTTGTTTTGAGCACGTTGAGCTTTACAGCTGTACAAAGTAAATAAACATATAATATTTTGCTATATTTTTTTCAAAAAATTGTAAATTAAAGCTGCAACCACATTTAAGCAAAACAATTTTTTCGTATTTTTTTAATCTATATGTTGCTGCTTTTAGATTTAAATGTACATAAGCGTATAAATTTATTGGTTTTTGGTGTATACATTAGGTGTACGGTCGAAGAAACGCACATACTTACATATTTACATATAATGTATACTCTCTTTACAACACAACACAATTTCTTAGTTTACCTGGTTTCATTTTCTTTTTTTATTCAAAATCACTTTTATAAGTTCAACCATAATTTCAACTGTACCAATCAAATTGAGTATACCATAAACTTTGAGTTTTGACTGATATTGTTTGGAGCGCCATACCGCAGGCGGCAGCACTTCAGCAACTCTGTAGATTTGTTAAAATATCTGATATTTTTCCGCCCCAGCTGCCCAATATTTTTATAGTTGGAACATTGGGAGCCGTGGCAGCTATCCCCTTTCAAAAGGCTAAAGGCGTAGTATTCGCAAATATAATGTTAAAGTCATTTAGTTTGAAGCTAACTTCTGACATTATTATATGTGTATACGATGATGATGTGTCAAAGGAGTCGATAGTGTGCCTAAATATTTCAATTTTCTATACTATTTCTTTGTTCCAAATGCTACTATTCGATAGTTTAGGTTTTGACCTTAGTTAAATCTGGATGCAACTTATAAAAATTATTTTCATAGAGCGCTTCTGAGTGTGCTTTTAAAATTAAAGAAAATTAAAACGAAAATTATTTAGTGTTCGAAGTCCTTTCTGAGTTTCCAATGGTTTTCTTTTTAAACTCCCTTGAACATCTTGCAATCATAGTTTAAAAATAGATTTATTAATTTAAAAGTAATACTAATAAAAATACCGATAAATATGCAAATAATGCTTGAAGGATGGTAGTTAAAAAGATAGAGAGAGAGAGAGAGACAGATGACCTGTTTCTCTGAGAGCAAGAGAGAGAGAGAGAGAGAGAGATATGTTTGTCTGGGTCATATATATTATATGTTTTCGCAATTTCCGCAGGAAAGAAACTTTAATTTAATACTCATTAAAAAAGAGTAGGACTTGCCTTGTCTGGTAGTTTGCTAGTTAATCAACGTTCCCACTTAGTGATGGTGGACAGCTGTAGCTTTCTAACTACGAAAGTAGCTGTATTCAGGACCGGCTTTAGTGCCTCTTCTTTAGTGCCACTATAATTTTTTAGACTTTTATAATAAAAAAATAAATTATAAACGTTTTTTGACCTTTCCTTGCCGATAAAATACATTTTTAGATATGATTATACTAATTCTATATTTCATATTTTTAACCTTAATCCTCCTAATACCACAGCAGTTTTCGTTATCTTTTGTTTTTTATTTCGTTGTTTACCTTGCAAGCACGTCAACAACATTGCTTCAGTATTTTGAAAATGCGTCTAAATTTCATATTTTGCCTTCAAAGTATTTTTAAATTTTCTATTTCTGCAAATACAAAAATATATATTTTATTTTAAATTTATTTTGAGTTATTTATTCTGCGCTGCTTGCCAGAGACACACCTCTAAATATGTTTGAATTTATATAGGTATTACTTTATTATATGATATTTAAATTTGGTATTTTATTATATATTTTTATTTGTTGCTTTGCTTGAAAACAAGAATTTGCTGAAAAAAAAACAAATAGAAATTATAATAAACACATTTTTGTGGGCCATAAAAACAGTTACACTAGTTTAGATATATAGTTTATTTATGAAGTTTAGCCCACTTTAGCCGCCTATACTCCAAGGTGCCTAATCAAAGTGCAATTCCTCGTTTGTGCATTCATAAATTACAATTGTTTGCAATAATTCTGCTTTACTTATTTGCATTATACTTTTATTTATTTACTTTTTTTGTTTTCAAAATTGTTTAGCTTACAAATAGTTATGTTTCTTGTAAGCAAAAACTATGGCCCCAAAGCGTTGAAATGCAACTGTATATTTATTTTTCACAACATTAGTAGTATTTTTATACCCTGAACAGGATATATTAAGTTTGCCACGAAGTTTGTAAAACCCAGACGGTAACATCGGAGACCCTATATGACTATAAATGATCAGAGTCAATTTAGCCGTAGCCGTCTGTCTTTCCGTCTGTTTGTATATATGCAAACTAGTCCCTCACTTTTTTGAGATATCGTTTTGTAAAACCCAGACGGTGTCCCTTAATTTTTTAAGATATCGTTTTGCAATATTGCACACGTCCTTTTCTCCATAAAGCTGCTCATTTGTCGGAATCGCTGATATCGGTTCACTATAGCATATAGTTGCAATAAGAACTGAATGATCGGAATCCTGTTCTTGTATAGAAAACTTTTTCAGTTGACGAGATTTCTTCAGGAAATTTGATGCGGCTTATTGCCCAAAGCATCAATGCAATCTTCGCAAAAATTGCTATGATCGGACGACTATAGCATACAGTCACTATAGTCATACAAACTGAACGATAGGAATCCAGTTCTTGTATGGGAAACTTCACGAAATTTGGCATAGATTATTGGCCAGGGCAACGGTACAAGCTCCGAAGAAATCGTTGAGATCGAGTAACTATAGTATATATCTGCCATACAAACTAACCGATCAAAATCAAGTTCTTGTAAGAAATATTTTGTAATTGTAAAGGGTATTTTAGCTTCAGTGCAGCTGACGTTAACGTTTGTTCTTGTTTATTGTGTTTGTTATTGTTATACTCTCGCAACCTGTAGTTACAGAGGATAATAGTTTCGTTCACCTAACGGTTGTTTGTATCACCTAAAACTAATCGAGTTAGATACAGGGTTATATATATTATATATAAATGATCAGGATGATGAAACGAGTTGCAATCCGGGTGACTGTCTGTCCGTCCGTCCCTGCAAGCTGTAACTTGAGTAAAAATTGAGATATCTTTACGAAAATTGGTACACATGTTTGTTGCTACCGTAAGACGGTTGGTTTTGCAGATGGGCGTAATAGTGTGAAAATGGGTGAAATCGGGTGACAACTCCGCCCACTCCCCATACAACGGTAATGTTTAAAACTACTACAATAAAAGGGCGATAAATAAAGCACTAAACACGGCATAGACATTAAATTTTATCTCTGGGATGGTATGAGTTCAGTTTATAGGAACCGCGTTCAAAATTAGACAGTGGGGTAGCAGCGCCCACTTTTAGGTGAAAAGCCATATCTTGGGATCTGCTTAACCGATTGAAACCAAATTCGCTACATAAAATTCTTCTTATATTTCTATATTATAATGCGAAATCGGATTACAACCACACCTATTTCGTATATAACACCATTTTAAATTCCATCTGATTCTTTCACTTAGAACTTCCTTACTTTTTTTGTTGTCTCAATGTATAATTTTAATGTTGTTTTTTATGGTTTTTAAATTTTTTTGAATGATTTTGGTGGTGTTTTCTTTCTTAACTTTTTATATTAATTGTATTTTAAAGCTATCTCTTTTTTTCTTATTTCAACGCCTAAATTTTATTTTTCTACATTTTCGATATTTAAAAAAATAATTTTTTTCATGAATATATTTTCATCTTTTTTAACTTTTTCACCACTTGAAACTTAAAAAATTGAGTTTAAATTGAATTATATATTATATATATTTTAACAAGATTTTTTTATAATTTTACTTAGAAACTATAAATGGAATTTCGAAGGAGAAGTATTATTTTCTTTGTAGTTACATATGTTCTTTATTTTCTTTTATTTTTTATGATTGTTTTACCTCAAGTTTTAAAATAATATTTCCTATCTAATTAAAATAATTTAAAATATTTTTTTCATAATTTTGTTTGTAGTAGTTTACGTATTACCATTTCAATATCTATGATTTTTGTTTTTCGTTGCTTATTTTCTAAAAAGCCCTTTCTACTACCAAAAGCTTTAATTAGCTAGGAATGGAAAGTAACTCAAGAATATTTATACCCTACGCAATTCGTGTGCCACGCCCCCTAACATGCCAATATTTGAATGACGTACTGTATTTACTTAATGCCAACCAACCAGCTGAATCAATTATTAGTTTCTATTTTGTTTATAAACATTTTGCGTTGCAGCTACGCGTACTAACGATTGTTTGTGTTATTGAAATCGCTCACTATTTAACTCAATCACAGACGCACTCACTCACACATGCGCTCGTCCAACAACGCACTCGCTTGTTCCCTTTTGTTTTCAACAAAAGTTTAAATACAAATTTATTTTTTTTTCTTTTTCCAAATGTGCGCCAACTTATGCAACTCGGTTTTGAAATTGAATTTTCAATTTTCTATATATATTTTTTTTGGATTTTTGTTTTTGGTTTCTCGCCAAATGAATGCTGCAGCTTAATTGCGCTATATGCTCACCTTCTTAGTTGTTTTTGTTGTTGTTGTCCTTACAAAAGAAATCGTAGTATTCGCCATAATTCCATCAAATACTTGCATGTTTACGCTCTTCTTCTTGTTTTGACGATTTACATTTGATTGTTGTTGTTGTTGCGTTTTTTTCGTTCATGATTCCTTAGCTTGTTTGTTTTGCATACGTTTTGCACTCTACGTGCATTCACTTTACGTAAGTAGATTT